ATCCCCTCCAGACAACGCTAGACCAGGGATGGTTAGACGGTGACACTCTGCCCTCCTGTGCACGTGGCAGACATCAATGACAGATCACAGAGTGCGTTGCTCTGTGCTCTGGGAGCCAGCGGAACTGCTGTCACCACACAAAATAAACCACTTTGCTATTCCTTGATTGTCCTAAACCTCATTGGTTAACCCGGGACTGAAACACAAGCCCGCCTACTCACAGGCCAGGTTCGCCGGGCTCACCGTCCCCTCTGTCCTTTGCACAGAAGGCAAATGAGATGAGCACCTGCGTCCCAAACACCCTGGCCCATTTTCAGAGGGCATATTCTCACCATGGCTCCTGCTTATTCTTTTTTTTTTTCTTCTTTTTTGAGATAGAGTCTTGCTCTGTTGCCCAGGCCGGAGTGCAGTGGCACGATCTCAGCTCACTGCAACCTCTGCCTCCCGGATTCCAGTGATTCTCCTGCCTCAGCCTCCTGAGTAGTTCAGATTATAGGCGCACACCACCAGGCCTGGCTAATTTTTGTAATTTTAGTAGAGATGGGCTTTCATCATGTTGGCCAGGCTGGTCTCAAACTCCTGACCTCAGGGGATCCACCTGCCTCGGCCTCCCAAAGTGCTGGGATTACAGGCGTCAGTCACCGTGCCTGGCCCTGTTTTTGTTCTGAACCACTCTCAGATGCCTGGCAGCCAGTGACTCTGCCCATGCCTGCTCCTCTCTTGGGAAAACTCGGGGTTCCTGAGCCCAGGCTGTCAGGGAGGGCAGTGGAGGGCCCAGCCATCCCGGGCGGGAGCGGCAGCGGGATGGAGGGACATTCAGGGAGCAGTGGGCCCCAATGGGTATAGTTTTCCTCTCCTGCCTGAGAAGCGTTGGGGCAGTTCCAGCTGTGGAAGCGGCTTTGATGGCTTCCGTGTCTCTTTCTTCATCACACGTATGGAGCTCCCCTCTTTTCCACACACATATTATGAGCCCTCTCCTTCCCTTGCTCGTGTCCAGCTCCTCTGCCCGACCAGCCTGCCTTCCCCAGACGGCAGATCCTGCCTCTCATCCCTGCCCCTGCTCACAGCGGTCTGAGCCCCTGGTTTGCAGTGGGCCGCCACCTCGGCCTCGCTGGGCTGCTGCCTGCGTACGCTGGCTCTGCTGTGCTGGCTCCACACAGCCTCTGCTAGAGCTCTGGAAAATGGAACCAGCCCTCTGTGACTTCCCACTGCACTTAGCAGAAAGCCTTAGCGCCTTGCCTGGCCCCTCCCTGAGCTCCTGACCTCACCGTTTCCCCTGGGGCACTGTGCGCTGCCACACTTGCTGTCCCTCACCCATGCAGAGCTCATCCTGCCTCAGAGCCTCCATCCCTGCTGTTCCCTTTGCTGTTCCTGCCGCCTCCAGTTTCAGCATGGCTCCTTTGGTCTCGGTAGCCACACCTCTGCCCCCAGTCAGCTGCTCAGAGAGGAGGTCCCGTCTGCCCTGCACAGTCCAGGGTCATCTGGGTTTGTGCTGACATTTAGCAGCTGCCATACAGGGTCTAAAGTGATTCTGTGATTTGTTCTAGGCCACAAAGTCAGTAGAAGTAGAGCTTGGGCTAGAACTCGCGCTCCAGTGCTGGTCGGGTCCCCAGTCCCCAAGGCCCCCAGGAGAGCACAGGCCAGGGCACAGCAATGGGAGGCCCAGGCCAGGCTGGCTGGGCATGCTCACCCTGCACCAGGCTCCAAACTGGGCATCCCATGGGGCCAGCTCCTCAGTGCCTCCCCGTTCTGAGCTGCTGATGCAGTTGTCCATGTTTGGCAGAGGGAGGAAGCTGGAGACTTGGAGAGGCAGAGCCAGCATCGGTGTCCACCGCCAGCTTCAGGGTCTGCAGGAGCCCGGCACCTCTGGCTCCCCCATCCATTGTTCTCTTGATTATCTCAGTTCCTGCTCCTCAAGTCCGATTCACCATCGTAGGCGATCAGGAACCACAATGAGGGCTGCTAAGAGATGGCACGCCCGAGGCCCAGGGAGGTGATGGTGAGCTTTGTAATCACCTGCAAAGTGATGAGGATGTCATCCTGAGTGGAGGCAGCAGGGTCACACACCATCGTCAGGCCGCAGTCCATGATGGGAAAATGTGGGCAGAGAAGAAAGATGGGGTGGCCGCAGGCTGAGGCTGCACGTGGGTGTGACGTGTGGGGTCCTCTGCTGGATTATGGGTCCTATTTTCCAAATTTTCTGCAACTTTTTTTTGAGACAGTCTTGCTCTGTCACCCAGGCTGGAGAGCAGTGGTGTGATCTTGGGTCACTGCAACCTCTGCCTCCTGGATTCAAGCAATCCTCCTGCTTCCACCTCCTAAGTACCTGGGATTACAGATGTTGTGCACCACCATGCCCAGCTAATTTTTTTTTTTTTTTTGTATTTTTAGTAGAGATAGGGTTTTACCATGTTGGCCAGGCTGGTCTTGAACTCCTGACCTCAAGAAATCTGCCCACGTTGGCCTTCCAGAGTGCTGGGATTACAGGCCTGGCCACCACGCCCGACTCTGCAATGGCTTTTATTACTTTTGTGACAGCCAAACATCCCAGCACTCTGATAGCAAAAGTAGTGGGTGGAAGCGGGAGGAATGCTGTACTCATGTCCACAGCGCCAGCTGTTGGTTCTGGGCCGCCCCATGCAGAGTGGGTATGGAGGTGGCCCCTCAGTGACACACACGGGGCTTTCCTGTGGGCAGGCACTGTGCTGATGGAATGGTGCCGGGCTGAGAATCCGAGGAGCAGCCCCATTTTACAGATGAAGAAACTGAGGCTCACAAGGGTGGAGACCCTGGCCCAGGTCATACAGCTGTGTGTGTGTGTGGAATCTGGGTCCAGCTCGATCTGCCTCCGTGGTCCCGAATATTGGGGCTCAGACCTGCCAGCTTCTTGCTTTCTTGCTCTGGGAAACCCATAAAACCGGAGGCTATGTGGGGTGGGGGAGAGAAAGGAAGAGGAGTCATCTCGTGGCTGTTTGGGATCCTCTTCTGGGTCTCCAGCACTCCAGGGAGTGCTGTGAGGGGCGTGCCACTGGAGGGAGTTGTTTGAAGAGATAATGGGAGAATAATTTGCTGAGGCTGCTGCTGTGCCCGTCCCTGCTGCGCCTGGCTGATTGCACCTGGGGTTATGCTTCATGATTTATCCGTCTAGCGATCTCTGTCCCACCTTTTGCATTGCAGAGAGCAGCTGCCGCAGTATCGTCTGCATGGCAGGAGATGCAGGGTGGCCTCTCAGCAGGAGCTGAGAGTAGCGAATTCAGGGAAGTCCTAGAGGACTGGGGCTTTGGGAAACTGAGGCCCAGAAGTCCAGGGGCTTGGTCAGGCCCTCAGAGAACTAGAGGCCAAACTGGAGTTGGAGCCATGTGTCCTGGGAGCATTTAGTCATTCGTTACTTTTGTTCACTGATTCATCAGTATGTCTTTACTGAGCACCTAGTCTGTGCCAGGCCAGTGCCAATTGCTGGGGGGCATCAGGGACTGAGGGAGGTGAGGTGCTTGGAGTCTCCTGGTGGACAAGGGCATTCATCCAGCCTGGTGCTATGGGGGGAAGAGAAGGTGGGAGTCTTGGGGAGGACCCCCAGCGCGGGAGTGGGAAGTGTTTTGAAAGTGGCAGTCAGGTTTCAGGATTTTTATGAAATGACAGATTTCTTTTCTCCCTTTCCCTTTTAAAGGAGCGTGAGAATGCCGTTGTTGAATCTAGGATTTTCTTTTCTCATGTCTACCCTGTCTTGATGAGCTGGTTCCCAAACGCAGTCAGGCACATCAGGAACTCCAGCCTCCGGTGGCTGGGGACCGCAGGCTCGGCTCTTCACAGCCTGGGCCTGCCTCTGAGGCCTGGCATCATGGCCTTTCTCTAATCCCCAAAGGGGTTTCTGGCCTCCAAAGAGTTAAGACCCTGTTCATGAACAAGGTTGTGTGGGGTGTGGCTTCTGTATAAACATCTCGGGCTGAATTACTGGGTGGGAGGGGCAGTGAGGGATCTTGGTGCCCATGTACGAGGAGATTGGGTATTAGGAAGGGCTTCCTGTGTTACTGGATGGCAAGTGAAAAAAGGAAGGACTTCCTGGCCAGGCATGGCGGCTCACATGTGTCATCCCAGCACTTTGGGAGGCTGAGGCAGGTGGATCACGAGATCAGGAGTTTGGGACCAGCCTGGCCCACATGCTGAAACCCCATCTCTACTAAAAATATAAAACTTAGCTGGGCATGGTGATGGGCATCTGTAGTCCCAGGTACTCAGGAGGCCGAGGCAGGAGAATGGCTTGAACCCGGGAAGCAGAGGTTGTAGTGAGCTGAGCTCTCACCCCTGCATTGCAACCTGGGCCATGGCTGAGACCCAGTCTTGAAGAAAAAAAAAGGCGGGGAAGGACTTCCTGTGGGGCTGGAGTGGGGGACTTGGGAGGGTATGGTGGAACCTTCTTCCTGGCACAGTTCGTGGGATGAGGTAACGGGGTATGGGCTGTGCCTGGCAGCTGGCTGTGGTGTTGGGGGAAGTCGTAGGCCAGGGCTTGGGACGTGGCCAGTGCTCAGAACGTCCTGTGGTGTTAACAGTCTCAGCTCATTTGTCCAGGCACACTCAGGGCCTGGAAGGAAGGTGTGAGGTTGGCTCCCACCTCACAGATGAGGAAACCGAGACTCCAAGGAGAACCCTCACCTGCCCTGGATCACACGCAGGTCAAGAGGGGGGTAGGATCAAGCCAGGCCTGAAGGCTGCGTCCTTCTTTTTCAATTTCTTAAACTTAAAAATACATACATATATGTATAGCCCCTTTTTCTTTTTCTTTTCTTTTTTTTTTTTTTTGAGGTAGGGTCTGGCTTTGTTGTCCAGGCTGGAGTGTAGTGGTATGATCATAGCTCACTGCAACCTCGAACTTTTGGGCTCAAGGGCTCCTCCTCCCTCAGCCGCCCAAGCAGCTAGGAGGACAAGCACAACCCACTGAGCCCGGCTCCACTAATTTTTTCTGTTTATTTTTTTGTAGAGAGATGGGGTCTTGCTATGTTGCCCAGACTGGTCTCGAACTCCTGGGCTCAAGTGATCCTCCCGCCTCGGCCTCCCAAAGTGTTGGGATTCCAGGCATGAGCCACCCGCCTGGCCTTCTGTTTCATATTACAGAGTTCCTGCACACTTAATGCTGCCAGTGAAAACAATCACGGAGATTCACAATTGCAATGATAGTAACCGCAGGGACCCCCTGCCACTCCTTTCTCCTGCGTACATGAAGCACTTGTCCGAAGTGGGGGCCTGCATGGTGGACCCCCAGAGCCATCCATCCTGTGGAGCCTGGAGATGCTGGGGCTGGACCCTGAGATCCTGCCCTGAACCCCTGACCATGCAGAGCCCCTTGAGTCGCCCATCTGCAGGGAGACTTCGGATAACTGGTTACTCCTGGTACCATCTCTACTCCATCCCCCGGCCTAGCCTGAGCCAGCATGGATGCTGGGACTCCTGTCCCTTCCACTGTGGGTCTGGAATCAAGCAGAAGATGTGGAGGAAAACAGGCCCACCAAGGACTTTTGGCCTCCATCGGCCTGTCAGAGAGGTGGGCAGGGCCAGGAGAGCCGGCCCCTCTCTCCCCTTCCCGGTACCAAGCACAGAGGTGGCTCCCATTCTGGAGTCTGGGCTCTGGTCCTGGCCACCTCGTTGGATAGCTGTATGACTCTGACATTAGCTGAGCAGCTATTATGTGCCAGGCACAGGAGTGGGCGGTACAGGTTTGGAGGTGAACTAGAAGATAGTATTCCTTCCTCCATGGCACATATGGGGCACTGGCCTGTCACTACACATGTCACTCAAATCATTCCCGAGGCACAGCTGCTCGAGTGGCCACCAAGGCCCAGCCTGTGGATGGGGTGCTGGGAGTGTGTCCTGGAGCGTGACTTGGCCTGGGTGGTCAGAGGGGCTTCTCTCAAGGAGATGCTCTTCCTTCTGAGAAGGAGGTGGCACGCGGAGTCAGGCAGGTGAGGAGGAAGGGAAGAGCAGACCCCGCAGAAGACATCTGCATGGAGGCCCTGAGCCAGGAGGGCCTTCACCTCCAGAAACCTCAGTTTCTCCTTTGGTAAAGTGGGCGGGATTGGCCTCATCTCCTGGATGTTGGGGCGATTGGGCAGAATCATGCCTGGAAAGCACCCCGCCCTGTGCCTGGCTGTCAGTGAGTCTCCTGAATAGCTGTTAGAATCAGATGCTATGGCAGATCCCCAGAGCTTGTGGGGGTCCCCAGAGACCATCTGGTTCAGCGGTTCTCAACCGGAATGCTTCTGCCCCCGAGGGGATATTTGGCAGTGTCTGGAGACACTCGGGGTTGGCCTCACTTGGGGAGGGGGTGCTACTGGCATCTGTGTGGTAGAGGCTGGGGACAATGCTGAATGTCTACCGTGCACAGGACAGGTGGGGTGGGACCCTGATCTAGCATGAGCCACTTACTTTACTCACAGGGAAACCGAGGGCCATTGTGGGGAATGGGTTTGCTCAGGGTCCTCCCCCCAGCACGACAGGTTTGGGCCAGGCCTAGAGCACAGGCCCGTGTCCCAGCACCAGAGCAGGTCTGGCGGCAGCATGTCTGCAGGTGAGAGGGAGGGACTGGTGGGAGGGGAGGGAGGAGGCCCGGGCCTGTGGGAACCTGACCCTGGACCAGGGGTGAGGATGGAGTCACATCTCTCAGGCATCCTGGGCACAAGATTCTTGGGCATGGTCTTCGTCATTCAGCCAGCAGCTCACTCGGGTGCCCACTGCAGGAGGGGGTGTGTGGCTGCTTTGGGGTGTCCTGACTCAGCTAGCCGGTGGCAGATGGGTGGCATGTCGGGCTGGGACTGTGGTGTGAAATCGCAGCCTCGGAGCTGCGGTGATCTGTGGGGTGGTAGAGGCCTGGGGGCGGCTGGGTGTCTGGGAGGGTTCAGACCCCCCCACCCCGTCTCTCTGCTCCGTTTGAGGCAGGCTCCCTCCTCCACCTTCTGATGATGAACAGGGACTTACGTAATGTTTGGGTAGCAGTCGCTTTACCCATGCGCTTACACGGGGGCGGTGCAGCCTGGCTTGCCGGAGGGGCGGGTGAAGCAGGGAGCCTGGGAGGCAGGAGCCTGTGTCTGCGCCCTGTTTCTGCTGGTGACTTGCTGTGTGACTTTCGGCCTGTCTCCCTCTCTAGGCCGGTCTCCATACACAGAGGGTGGAAGCTCATCACTGTCTTTCTTTTCTTTTTTCTTTTCCTTTCGAGATGGAGTCTCACTCACTTTATCACCTGGGCTGGAGTGCAGTGGCGTGATCTCGGCTCCCTGCAACCTCCGTCTCCTGAGTTCAAGTGATTCTCCTGCCTCAGCCTCCTAAGTAGCTGGGATTATAGACCTACACCACCAGGCCCAGCTAATTTTTGTATGTTTAGTAGAGGCGGGGTTTCGCCATGTTGGCCAGGCTGGTCTGGAACTCCTGACCTCAGGTGATCCCCCCACCTCTGTCTCCGAAAGTGCTGGAATTACAGGCGTGAGCCACCGTGCCTGGCCATGCATCAGTGGCTTTCTTATTGTACCCACAGAGCACTTAGGTCCCAGCTGGGGTCTCTGGGGGTCCTTGTTCCAAGGGGCTCAGGAAGAAGGAGTCAGACATGTGGGCTCTGGCTCCCTCTGCCCCTGCCTGGCAATTTGTGTGTTTATTCATTCAGCTCACCGGACAAACATGCGCCAGGCCCACAGTACATGCCAGGCCTCACGCGGGCCATCAGGGCACAGGGGTGTCGGGAGCCTGCATTCCAGTGGGTTCTGGGCGGGAGGCGCATATGGTGTAGCGTGGTCCACTCTACTGGGATGGACAAGCGGGCAGGGGAGTAGAGGAGGCCCCGAGGCCTCAGACCGGCTGGGCCGACTTCCTAAAAGAAGCAACATCAGCTTGGTGCAGTGGCTCCTGCCTGTAATCCCAGCATTTTGGGAGGCCAAGACAGGTGGATCACGAGGCCAGGAGTTTGAGATCATCCTGGCTAACATGTTGAAACCTTGTCTCTACTAAAAACAAAAATTAGTTGGGCATGGTGGCAGGCGCCTGTAATCCCAGCTACTTGGGAGGCTGAGGCGGGAGATTCACTTGAGTGAGCCCAGGAGGTGGAGGTTGCAGTGAGCCGAGATTGCACCACTGTACTCCAGCCTGGCGACAGAGCAAGACTCCATCTCAAACAAGCAAACAAAGAAGTCAGGAAGGCTTCATTCAGGACTCTTGCAATAGGTGTCAGGACTATCTCAACCCTGGAGAGAGGGGCTCAACCCTGAATGCAAGGAAAAGTGAGGCTTTACCACCAGCAAGCAGGGTGAGGGCTCCGTGGGTAGAAACTGAGTTGCAGGAGGCCTCCAGGGCAGGGTGTTCCTGCTGAATGACTGGGCAGGCTGATGCGGGGGCAGGACGAGGACTCACCGAGGAACTTGATCAGATATCGTGGTGTAGGGATTCTGGCTACAGCTGGGCCAGGCAGGCCAAAGACCTGGGGCAGGGGTCAGGGGACAGGTTGAGGCCGAGTGAGAAGAGGGCTCAGAGGAGCCTATCCGAAGTCTGGGTGTGGGGTATGCGGCGTCTGGGAGGAGGAAGCTGGAACAGCAGGCTGGGCACCGCCTCATGGGCGTTGCTTCAAGGGGGGCTTCTTGGAGCCCTGCTAATGGCACAGAAGGGGGCTGGGGCCCCACAGTGATAAACTCGGCAGTGGTAACCGGATAGGCCCCCGAAGGCTCCCCACTGAGGCTGGCTTCCCTCCGCACTGACCCTCGCTGCCCGCCTTCCACAGCCGCGTGCTACACAGACTGTACAGCCTCCCTCTCCTTAGAGTGGCCCCTGTGAGCCATCTGCAGGGACACCTTTGGGTGCCTTTTGTTTTGTCTTTATTGTTTTTAATAACCTTTTAGAATCACTCAAGTAGCACAGACCTATTGTGGATAAGTTAGAAGGTTTGCATGAAGAAGTATCCACCTGACATTCAGGGAGGTCTGGGGACAGCTGGGTGTGTCCCCACACGGGTCATTATGTCCTGGTGCCAGGCATGTTTCCCCCGCTGCCCAGGGGCCCATCCCGGCCTGGGG